ACCTTCCATGCAGGGCACAGAGAAATTTCTGGTGCCCTCCTAGGGACAGAAGGAGGTGCAAAAGCAGAAACCCAGGCGCTCTCTCTGCCTAACCATTCTGTATTCCAACAGCTTTCATGTGTCATTTTGGGGCCACAAGGAATGGCAGTCCCTTTCCAGGATCCCAGATGAGTCATGGGGCATCAGCCCCCTCTGCTTTTGTCTTCTCTCTCAGCCTATCAAGCCCCCTCCCAATACACACACACACACACACACACACACACACACTGAGATTTCAGCACAGAGAGCCAAAGTGTGCGTGTGTCTGTGTATTGGGAGGGGGCTTCTCTCCCTTTTTCTCTTCTCTCCTTTATTCCATCAGGCCAGATGGAGCAGGGTTTAGTCCCTGTTCTACCGCAGCAGAGATTTTCCACAAGTCATGTTCTTCTGGGAGTAGCATTTGCCCTCCCCTAGGTCTATAATAGCGGAAGGGGTTACAGAGGGAATGACGTTTGGGACCACAGGAAGATACATACATTTGTATTGGGAAGGAACAGTGAGGACTGAAAATTTCATAAGTTTAATGTTTTCAGACATTTCTCCATTACACATAATTGTCTCGAAATAGTTGAAAGGCACAATGCAGAAAATAGAATCAACTAATTCTTTATTCTCTACTAGGCAAAAATTATACCAGTGGTATAAGTTATAAGAATGCAAATTTGGATTTAAGAAAACCTTCAAAAAATCAGAGATTTTGTTCAAAGATAAAATAGGATAATCTAAGAAGTAAAGAGAAGTGTCACTGGAAGTATTAATATTAAACCACACAAGGTTGGATGACCATTTGATCAAAGATATATAGGAAAAAACTACATTGGCTAAAAGATTATAATTGATAACCTCAAAGTTACCAAAAGACACAGATTCTCATTTTTTTTCCCCTAAAAAGAGATTTTTTTTTCATACATCTGCAGACATCATTAGCAACCAGACTACAGACTGATATGTGTCTGAGCTGGCCATCTGTGATGAGAAAATGGTCATTTTGAGTTGCTGCCTAAGCATCTTACAGTATGACAACCCTCCTCACATCCAGTCTGGACATTTAGATAAAGACCCAAGCTTAGGATTCTCACCTTGCTTTTACTCAGGCACCTCTTAAAATGATCACTCAGAGTTGAGCCTATGAAAAATTAGTGACTTCTGCTCCAACCATCTTATAAGTAATAGATGCTTGCTACCTTGCTCTTATCTCCTGCTCTGGTGACCTGGGAAAGAGGACTGCCCTTCCCCCAGCTCATCGCACTCCTGTTCTGGGATTTGTAAGTAGTAAACCTTGTCACCTTACTTTCTTTGTGTGAGTGTATTGAAACCAGTACTTCAATCAAAATGGCCCCAGGGGCTTTCATTTCTCTAAAGTGGGAGCTTGGATGCAAAGGAAATGTGAGTGGCTTGGGCCTCCTTATTCAGCTGGTCATAATCTACATATTCTTAACACACCAGCTCTGGGTTTTCCAACATGCCATCCACTACTTCCCCAATCTCAGAATCTAAAATGCAGCCAAAGACTTGGGGCCAGAGGTGGGGAGAAAAAGTCATATGCAAGGAATTGAAACATCAAACCTGTTTCACATATTGGTGTGGAGTCTGAATTTACATTAATCATATGATGCAGGATTCTTAAAAATTCACACACACACACACACACACACACGCAAATGGCCTAGACCTGACAAAACCTCAAAGGCCATGACAGAGGCAAATGAAAATTTTCTCTGTAGGGAAACTTTACAACCCAAGGCACATGAAACTCCCACTGAAATAATCTCATAATGAAGATGAGTTTACAATCAAGTATTACAAATCACATGAGGAAACATACCACAATGAGACAAAGTTAGCAAAACAGTTAGCATATCAAGAACCAGATGTAATAAAACAACCTGAAATTGTAAAATAAATGTGTTTCATTAAAAGAAAATTAGAGATCTTTACTTGACATGACTATTTTATTGGGCAAGAAACAAACTTTTGTGAATAAGGAGACTTCCAAGCAAAAGTGGTTAGGAAGCTAAGCCCTCAGCAGTTACAACTAAGTTTACAAGGCATGAATAAGTAATGGTATTATTTTCTATTGTGATTGGTTGCTAGAAACTTACATTCTTTTTCACTGAATAAGCTTGCAGTGTTCATAACTGATTAGCTAGGAAGCTGTAATGTCACACTGACATGAAGAAAGATTAACTTTTGTTTAAGATCAAAGTCATATTTCAGAGAAGTTAGGACAGTTTTGAATTTTGGTTACATGACTATGAGTGTTTGGTCTACAGGTATATTTAAACTGGCCTCTGTTTTGGTTTTTTTTTAACAGTTCTAAATAAGGAAAGATTAAAGAAGGATTGAAAACCAAGATGAAAGAACAGAGCAGTAGAAAGAAAGACTCAAATGAAAGAAAGCTATCATCACTGAAATTAAAAATTCAATAAACAAATTAGATGGTAGTTTAAACACCATTGACAAGAAAATTTGCTACCTAGAAGCTAAATCTGAGGAAATCACCAGAGACATAGGTAAAGCAGTAGGAAATAGGAGAGGTATGGTAGGCAAAATAATGGTCCCCCAAAGAGATCCACATCCTAATCTCTAGAACCTATGAATACGTTAGTCTAAATGGAAAAGGGGGAATTAAGACTGCAGATAGAACTAAAGTTGCTATCACTGACCTTGAGATGAGGCGATTAGCCTGGATCATCTAGGTAGGCCAGTGTAATCACAAGGGTTCTTAAAAGTGAAAGAGGGGAGAGAAGAGCATTAAAATGAGATGGTCCAATGCTGCTGGCTCAAAAGACAGAGAAATGGAACCATGCACCGAGAACACCAGCAGCCTCAAAAACCTGGAAAAGACAAGGAAATGGATTTGCTTCTCGAGCCTCCAGAAGGAATGCAGCCCTGTCAAAATATTGACTTTAGCCCATCTCAGACTTCTGGCCTATAGAACCATAAAATAATAAATTTGGGGAGGTTTAAGCCAGTAAGTCTGTGATTTATTACAACAGTAATAGGAAACTAATACAGGATGTTAAGAGGCATGTTACCATAGAAGGTAATGATCCCACGTATGTCTAGTAAGAGAAGAACAGAGGAAATACAGTATTTTGTAATGACTGAGAATGGTCCAGAATTAAAGAGATGAATCTTCAGATTGAGAAATCACACCAAGATCCACATATAATAAACATCAACTAATCCACAACCGTAACACATTGCAGTGAAACATCTGAGAAAGTCTTACAAGCAAACCGCGCCTCGAGTGTGGGCAAGAACAAGACAACCAGAACTCTCCTTTCAGGAAGGTCACAAATGTCAGTGGTCAGCCAATGTCGTCAGTATTCAAAGTCAGATTCTAGGTGTGGCCTGTGCTCTTTTAATCTGGAGATTCTTGAGTCCTAGTTCATGCTCAGAGGAGAATTTAGACAAAGACGATGGAAGGAAGCTGGCTCCACAGGGAGAGATTCCCCTTTTTCCTTGTTCTCAGTCTTCTGCTTCCAGGTAAGAAAGGGCAACAACATGGAAAGAAGCCAGGACCCTCTCTTGCAGAACACCTAGGAACTGCTTTCAAATTTCCAACTCCTAGAGCTTATCTAAGATGGGCATAGTTATTTCATAACTATGTTGCCATAATGCCCAAATCGACTCTCCTTCTCTGAAAGATAGAATATCCCCTCCCAGTGACGTGCCACATGAGAACACTTTTACTTTTTCTTTCATGAACCATCTACAACTGTCTTCTCTTCCATTTAGGCTCCATGTCCATCCATCTTTCTACACACAGGTATAACTTTATCTCTACAGCTATGAAACCCACCCCACTGCAGCGAAGTGCCCACTTTTAGCTATCACTTTCCCACTCACCTACTAGCTCCAAGGGCTCTAGGTTAGATAAGATGCCAGAGAACAGCAGGTGAGAGTAAAACTGGAATGTGCTTCTCTTCCAGGGAGTTAACATGGAATAGTGGGGGGGGGAATGGGATTTAAAGACAGACAGATTTGGGTTTGAATCTTGGTTCCTCACTTTGCTAGTTGTGTAACCTTGGGCAACTTAACTTGACTTCTCAGAGCTCGTTTCCCCACCTGTAAAATAGGACCTACCTGGGAGGGTTGTGAGGATTCACTGACAGAGACAACACAGTACCTGGCATTTGACAGGTGTCAATAAATGTCACCTCATCGCCTTAGGCTATCACGTGACTTCTGGATATGGAGAGGGGGTGAGGGGGTGGGATTTAAAATATAGTTTCTAACTCAGAGGGGCTTGGGAGGATTAAATGCAGAGAGGACTGAACCAGAGGTGGCTTTAGAGGCCAGTACAACTGGCCTAGGCTATACAAAACACTATAAATGCTCCTCTGTTCACTCAAAGACAGTGACTGACAAGTGAACATTCATTGCTGACAGAATGATTCAAGGATTTGCCTGGAGAGCACTATGACTTTGTGCATGAAAAAGCCTTGATGTCCTTGGCACAGAGGTCATCAGCCATCTCTCTCCTTCCAGGCTGTTACTCCTGTAATGAATTTCCACCAGTAGAAAATTGGAACCTTTATTAGTCAGAAGAAAGGGGAAGGCAACACCTCAAAAGCTCAAACTAGAAAGCTGATATGGGGTTGAATGGTAAAATAGGGAGAGGGAAGGTTGAAGCAGCTAAAGTAAAGTAGTTGTGTTCTCTTTGGGGCCTCAGGAATGTAATCCTATCTGATGGCTATCACTGCCCCAGGGCTCAGTTTGCATATAGATTTGGGCATGCTTTGCATGGAGAGAGAAACTTGGGAAAGGCAGCTGGAGCCCTAACTCAGCTTACCACATTAGCTTCTATCATTTGCCTTCTGGCCCAACCCACCCTCACTGGTCTTGGTGGGAAGCACCCAGCATGTGGATCTCAGTAATCCTCCTTCCCTATTCTCCACCTCATCACTGGTGGTATGTGGGACAGCAGCATCAGACAAACATGGGCTCAGACTAAGTCCAGTTTCTGCCTTTTATTATCTACTCGATCTTGGGAATTTACTTTCTCTTATTGCACCTCAGTTAACTCATTTATTAGATGAGGATAAAAATTGTTTCCACCTGATAGGAGCTTGGGAGGCATAAATGAGATAATTCATTAAAAGGGCTTAGACTACACCTGGCACATTGTCAGTGTTCAATAAATGTTAGTTATCCTTCCTATCATGGGCTACCCCCAGGCTCCTGCCCTGGGACCCCTCTCATTTAGGGAACACAGGAGTTCTCTCCCAATTCTCAGACATCCTGTGTCCTCTACAGGAAGAGGCAGTGCTTTCACCATCAACTGCTCAAGATTTGGCCAGCAAGGGGTGTACACCACTGTTCTGGATTCAGTGTTTGACAGGAAGGCCTTCCGTCCAGCCACCAACTTCAGCATCCCCACCCTAGTCAACATCTCCTTCACTATGTCTGCCATCCTAGATGTGGTGAGTACTGACCCCTATAGCCCTCCTCAGCATCCTTAATTTTTACCTGGACCCTAGTACGGCAACCCCCAAAGCCCTTACCATACTACAGCTTCCTCCATCATTGCTATATGGCATTTGCCCCATGGGTATCTCAAAGAAGCTCTGTCCAGTTCAGCGGGATGAGGTATAATAGTGTAAGGAAGAGAATTTCTTTTCTTCTCACCCAGTGACTCTCTACACTGTATACCAGTGTCCAGGCTCCACTTCTAGAGGTTCTAACTGACTGGAATCCACGCATCAGTATTTTTAAGTTCCTCAAGTGATTCTAAGATAAAGCCAGGGTTGAGAAGCACTACTCTAATTCAGTCCTGCATAAACTCTCCTGACTGTGGCCTAACACGTCCGTTTTGATCAAGATTTTGTCCTTGACCTATAATGTTGGTCTTGATCACAGCACTACTTCTATAAACCTCGAGGGCTGACAAACAAAACTGGGGAGTGGGCAGGATGGACAGACGTCTTACCAGCAACATGCTGGAAACAGGAAATTCTTTTGGCAGGATGAACAGTTACAGCTCTTGTCATCATTCCTGTGGCTGGAAATGGTAAGGCCAACACTATTTATTCTCTCCTTTCATTTACAGTCAGAGCGAATTTTAAACAAAGATATAACAATTATGACCCTTTATGTACTTAACTACATAGCTTTGAAACACATGAGGGAAAAATTTTAAAATCCACAATCATGGTGAAAGGCATCAATAAACCACTTTCAAAAATCAAGTAGAAGAAGAATAAACATATAGTGATTTTTTAAAAACTTGATTTAATAAACATATCAAACTTTGTACCAGTGAACATGTGTAATCGTTTCTGAAACAAATGGAATATTCCCCCAAACTGACCATACTTTTGGCCACAAAGAAGAGCTCAACAAAGTCAAGAAAGCAAAAAGTACCTAAACCACAACCTCTGACTACAGTGCAAGAAAATAGAAACTAAATAAAGAAGATAGTCCCCACCCGCCCCCAAATCCACATTGCTTAGAAATTTTAAATTAAACTTCTAAATATGTTGGACAAAAGAGAAAATAAAACAATTAAGCTGAAATTAGAATGAAGAGCACTGCATATAAAAATCTATGGAATGTAGCCAAAGGAAGATAATTTCTATCTTAAGTTCGTTAATTAGAAAATGGGGAGGGGAATAAAAGCAAATGAATTAAGCTTCCAACTTGAAAAGCCTGGCTGAAGGAAGGAAGAGGAGGGGAAGCACAGTAATGACCATTTAACCTTGCTCTCAAAGTGTGGTTCCCAGATGGACAGCTGATTGCACCCCCTGGAAGCTTAGAAAAGCACTCTATCTTGGACCCCACCTAGCACGACCAACCATCCCAGCATGCCCAAGACTGAGGAATTCTCAGGACATGGAACTTTGCTAAATCCAAGAAAGTTTCAGGCAAACCAGGATGGGTTAGCCACCCTACATCAGAATCTGCATTTCAACACAATCCCCGGGTGTTTTGAATGCAAAGTGAGGTTTGAGAAGTGCTGATCTAGTACAAATTTTTATTTAATGTGCCTCTGTTCTGCCTGTGGTTCTGCAAACTGCAGCTGCTGACACTGTAAGTGACCAGAGGCTGGACAGGTCCTCTCCACCTTCCACCCTGACTCCGAAACCACAGACTTGGAAAATCCTTGAAAGTAGTTTCCAGAAAACTTTACCAGCCTTGGAATGGAGAGCTTGGAAAGGACAGTGTGTGGCACCTGCCAAGGAAAGGAAGACCACTAAGTCTCTTGGCTTCAAAAAAACCAAGGGCTTGTTCAAGATGTCCTTGCAGTAGAGAGTGGTAAATGGGGTCTGGAAGACAGCTGAAACATGATAGAGACTAACACATAACCTACTTTTGTGGACAGCATTACGGTCCACAAAATCTTTTTACATGCCTTATTTCATTTGATACCCACTACTATCCTCCTGATTTCACACTAAAGAAATTCTAGCTCAGCCTCTCTGAATCTGATTCCTCCCAAAGAAAGCAGAATATTTCCCTGATAACCAGTAATTTCCCACAAAAGTGGGAAAGCAGAGGGATCAAAGTTTATGAAGAAATGGACACAAGGAGCTTCAATTCTCTGTGTAATTCTTACTTCTTGAAAAAAACCAAAGTATATTTATCAGAATACTAACTCTACGAAGTTGGGTAGTAGACAGATGTTATATTATTTTATATACTTTTCTATGTACTTGAAATATTTTATAACTTCTCTTTTTTAAGAAAAATAAAAAGGCAGAAAAAATAACCTCCATTCACATCAGACTCTCACCTCTCCTCCACGTGGGCTCTAGGTCTGGGACAACCCATTTATCAGATGGAACCCAGAGGAATGTGAGGGTATCACAAAGATCAGTACGGCAACCAAGAACCTGTGGCTCCCAGACATTTTCATCACTGAGTTGTACGTATTAAGGACTGGGGGAGCTGGGGGTGGGGGCCATCTCCTGGCAACAGCAGAGTTCAAAATCTACCATTGGGGCCACTTTATAAGTGGTCTTATGTGGCTGAGAAACGAACAGACAGATAAGATGAAAAAACATTGCTCCTGCCTCCCACTTCATCTCTCTTACAGCATGGATGTGGATAAGACCCCAAAAGGCCTCAAGGCATACATAAATAATGAAGGTCGCATCAGGTACAAGAAACCCATGAAGGTGACCAGCATCTGTGAACTGGACATCTTCTACTTCCCCTTTGACCAGCAGAACTGCACCCTAACCTTCAGCTCATTTCTCTATACAGGTGAGTTGCAGTGGAGTCTCAGAGATGGGGGGGTGAATGAGAGCAACCAATAAAACAACAGAAAATAAAATGTAAAGAAACTATGAGTAAATGATGGCCAAGGGCAGCAAAGACTAAGGCTCTATGGATGCTTAAATATTTTCCATAAAGGCAGAACCCAAGTCTATCTTGTGCATTTCTACCCCCAGCTCCTAGCAAAGCTCTCAGCATATAGTAGGCACCCAAAAATATTTGTTGAATGAAGGGATGGAAAAGGAGAGTGTAGTTGAGTCAACAAGAGACTGTATCCTTGGAAAATGATTGGTATTTCCCTTTCAGTGGAGAGCATGTTGCTGGGCATGGAGAAAGAAGTGTGGGAAATAGCAGACACGTCCCGGAACATCATTCAGACCCATGGAGAATGGGAGCTCCTGAGTATCAGCAAGGCCACTGCAAAGCTGTCCATGGGCACCAATCTGTATGATCAGATCATCTTCTATGTGAGCTCAGAGGCCCTTGCTTTCACCTTTCTTCCTTGCTTCTAGACTTGCCTACAATCGCCACCAAATGGTATCTCCCAAATTTCAGGGTTTCTCAGTCTTATCATGTCTGCCAAAGGCCAGAACCTTCTCTCCTTGCTGCCCAGCCACACACTCCTTCCTATAACTCATGGCTCTGATCTAACTCTCCTTTGGCAGGTTCTACACCAAATTATGAAGCTGATTCTGCACAGCTCCAGATTCAGAGTGATATCAGACCAGTGAGGAAAGCAGAGACAGAAACAAAAACTACTATCCCAGGCAGCCTCCAAATCCCGAATTCACTTCCCTCTCTTTTCTCCCCACCAGGTGGCCATCAGGCGCAGGCCCAGACTCTACGTCATCAACCTTCTGGTACCCAGTGGCTTTCTGGTTGCCATCGATGCCCTCAGCTTCTTCCTGCCGGCAGAAAGCGAGAACCGTGCCCCATTCAAGATTACCCTTCTGCTGGGCTACAACGTCTTCCTGCTCATGATGAATGACTTACTCCCCATCAGTGGCACCCCCCTCATCAGTATGGCCCCTCCAGCCTTTAAGAAGAGGAGAGTGGGAAGGACTGACTGAACTAGCTCAGGGAAGGAAGATATACTCGGGAAAAGAGGCTTTGTGCCTCCCAGGGTGGAATTGGAGGGAGGAAAGAAGTCCTGGGAGGTGTCTCTGGCCCTCAT